ATTGTTGGTGGAGTTCTGGGGACCGGTTTTCCCATAAGAAAATCCTTCAGAAGAGTAAACGTGTGTGAGCAGCGCCCCCCTTCTGGGAGCCAAGTGGAGGATCCCAAACCCCAGCAGCACTCTCAAGCCTCCTAGATGGAGTGTTGTAATTAGATTTCAGCTCCCTCCTTCTCCACCTCTTCCTTCTCATTCCTTCTCTTGAGGTTCCAGCCTGATACCTCCGGCTACCATACAAACAGCCACGCACATCCACCATTATTGTACGCCTGTTTGGGTGCGAACGCTTGTTTATGTGTAGATAAAGCGAAACAAAACATAAAACACAGCTGGGAAAATTCACAGGGACTCCCCAACATGGCTGCTAGCGGCAAAGTTGTACATACAGTGGCTAATTAGAGGCGCAGATAAGCCGAGCACGTTTCTATTCGCCGCTGGCTGTCTCTCTCAGCGAAGGTCCTCTGCTGTTCAAAAGAGAAGACACATTCATCACCCACCAGGGATTTGATAAGAGGCCACGGTTAAGCCTTTAACCCCATTGTTTTAATGATGAAGTCTCTTTTTTTCCCCCACTCCTTCTTATTCTGGAGGAGACGCTTTTCACTCATCAAAGGAGCAGGAGAGTAGTAGATCCAAACTGTGTGGTGCTGGTTATCAGAGCGAGCACAGCAGCCAGATCCCACTGCGCTGCTACAATGAGGAAAGGAGGACTCTGCTCTATTCATATAGGGTTATACCTCCTTTCAAAAGGCTTTTAAATGCAGCTTTTGTATAGACATATTTTAAAAGTGGATTTGGAGTAAGCTTTCAGGACACATCGCCCACTCGCGGTTCATCTCAGTTGACTGGAGCGAAAGTGAATATTGAATTGATGTCTCTGGTGTGCGTCTGTCTTCTAATTAACTGCACTTTTATTTTTTGGGGGGTGGCGACTTGAACAATGGTAGGTTAATCTCAGCTAATCCATTATTGATACAATCTGTCATTAATTTGGTAATTGAGTTGCTGAATCTGATCTTCTCAAAATTGACAAACACAAGACGTAACATTCAAGTGGGTCTGTTTTTTGGACTAGATTTTGTTTGCTGTAAATAATCAGTTAAAAAATCACTTTATTCATAGTGATTTAATGATTGTATCTTCAAATGTATACATTACATTAGAGACAGTCACACAAGACATTAAAATCATATATAATCATAGTACATTATTAAGATTACAAAAATCACTCAGTTGTCCGTTAGTCATTGTTCTATTGTTTTGCCTTTTATGAGCACAGATCAAATGTTTCCATTGAGAACAATGAAGATCATCTTATACTATATACTATTGGATATATACTGGTATACAGGTACAAAAAACGACTGGTCTTAAAACATATCAACTTGTACAATCTAACAAACTCTGCCGACCTGACCTCACATGCATCTGTGCAATAATGTCTACATTTGCAATATAGAACCACATGTGTCCACTGTCACTTTGTCCCAGAGCCTAATGCTGCCAACATGTACAGATGTATGCATACAACTATACCTTGTTTGTTCTATAATTTACAGTTTTTTTACTTGCTTTTTATGTTAAAGCTAGAGGTTTTAGACTTGCTTTTATCCTTGCTTCTTTTTTCCCATTGCCTAGATTGAGTCTGGTGTGTGTGTGTGAACATACTATAAGGGGCTGATGGCACAGACTGGTTGCCTCGCCTTTGTCAGTGTGCCCCAGGGCAGCTGTGGCTACAGTAGTAGTTTATCACCAACGTGTTTGGAGTGAATGAATAATGACATGAAGCGCTATACAAAACCGATGCATTATTATTATTATTTATTTTGCTAAAGTAAGAGTGATTTTATTTTATTTTAGTATAGTTATTGTTCATTTTTCTTTTGCTGTGTGCTCCTCATCTCTACTGTTCTGTAACTTGCGATGCAACACTGAAATTCCCCCACTGTGGGACGAATACGAGATCTATCAGAATGCCCAATGAACCTCGTCGGACCGTACTTTGCATAGATCCTTATTTAACTCTACTTGTGACCTCAACCCGCTCTTTTACACAACCCATTGTCGCCTTTTCCTCATACAGCCATGTGCATTAAAACATGATGATGAGATTCCATGTTCCATTCAAACTGACCGGGAAGACGGTCTGGGCGGCGGCGTGCTCAAACTGTAGAGCATGACTGATGAGCAAATTACAGCTGCAAGACACCTCACTCCACTACTGTGTCATTCTAGGCGCCTCTGTCATGCAAATTATCCACCGCCAACATCTTGTGATAAATTATTTCCCAGACATGCTCTTCAACGACCAAACGCCTTCCAATGTGATTCGTGCTCTCGCAGATGTGCAAAGAGGCAGCTTCACCGTACAACACAAAAAAAAAAAGCCGTAGGTGACGAAAAGTTGTTGAAAGCATAGGGACCAGTGGGGGCGGGTCCCGGTGTTCTGTCGAGTTGGTCTGCCCGTCGAGATGATCTGGCTCAGCTGTTAATGATGTAATGCAAACCTGCGCATGAGCGTCTCACGGCAGCCGAAGCAATCCAAGATGGCGGACATGTAGTCTGCAAATTGCTTTCAAAGTTAAATACAAACAAATTAAGACACGAATGTCACTTTGATATGTGTGTTTTAAGAGTAAGAGTTTCGTGTAAAGTTTGTTTTAAGCAGTCCACTGCTCCTGTGAAACTACACTGCTGCTGTGTGATCGCAGTCCCTGAGTTGACTGCTGCATACGTCGGCCCATGACGCGTCCTGTGACTGGTCTGTCGGGTTGATAAGGGAAATAATAAATGCATGTATCATACTGTATTCAATATTTGAATATTTGTTCAAACAAAATATTAAATTAGATCGAGTTTTTTCCCCATTCTGGCGGGTTTCTGCGCATGCGCAAGTCAGATTTGGGCACACTAGCAGTGTAGTTTCACAGGATCAGTGGACTGCTTAAAACAAAGTTTACACGAAACTCTTACTCTAAAAACCCACATATCACAACGCGGAACCATCAACATCTCGCCTCAAATTGCATTAAAAGTGACATTTGTGTCTTAATTCGTTCGTATTTAACTTTTAAAGCAATTTGCGGACTACATGTCCGCCATCTTGGTTTGCTTTGGCTGCCGTGAGACGTGCAGCGCTGGTTTGCATTACATCATTAACAGCTGAGCCAGATCATCTCAACGGGCAGACCAACTCGACATAACACCGGCTCAAAAGTGGCCAAAATTGCAATACCATCCCGGGCCGATGGGGGTGGACCCGGAATTAGCCAATGCTAACATATAGCATCTTCTTACCTCTCGAAAACACCTTTAGTGGTTTCCTTTTTATTACCCAGTGTTTCCTCTGGAGGAGCCCTCTGCACTGATAGCAGTGGTCGGTGAGGCTGTGGAGGTCAGACTTGGGCCTGGTGGGAGCCTGGAGCCTCGGCTTCGTGTCCCCTCTGGGTCCTGTGTCGTCTCCCGTGGCTACGGGCGGCTCTCTGCTCCTGGTGCAGACGGCTCCTTGGATGACATTTTTTTCAGCTGGTTGCATCTGAACCCGGCCAAGTCTCTCTTCATGGTTTTACTGTTTTATTGGTGTGTTCGTTTGTGTGTGTTTGTCTGCGTGTGTGGTTTGGGGTGGGTCTGTTGGGTGGTCGGGGGAAGGGGTCATGGGCCCACGGGATTGTTTTTAACCAAACTGTAAAGCACTTTGTGTTGCATATTTTTTTGTATGAAAAACGCTTTAAAAATAAAATGTGATAGATTGTTTGATTGAAAATGTTGTCTTTGTTTTGCCGTGTTACAAGTATTGCTTCAACTGACTTAAACTCAAATCAATTCCACTTATTTTTTTATGGACTTAAATCACAACAGTTGATATCTTTGAGGACTTTACAAAACCCTAGAATTTGCCAACACAGATCAGAGAATGAAACAGTTCAAACACAAAAAATGTAATAGTAAAGAACACATGGATCCATTGGTCGATAAGTGACAGATGACCAATGTCCATGAACGTCGTTGAATGTCAAGTGTCCTGGAAAGTTAAGTTGATATGTAATGTTTCTACTGTGTATTTGTGATAAAGTGAACTGAACTTTTATATTCATTTATATATTATTTATTGATCAATAAGGGGACATTTCAGAACTCCAAATGCACTGACACCTCTTAATCTTTTACAAATGGTTAGGTCGATGGCTACGTCTGAAGAAAGTGGATCTAAAGATGTGACCGAGGCCCAAAATACATTCATGTGCAAAAATAAAGAAAGCTTCAGCAAAATCAAAGGTGTTGTGGCTCTACTCCCCACGGGCTCCGTTAGTGGCAAAGGAGATGGCTAAAGCTAGGCTAAATGCGTCACTCATTCGGCGCTTTGCATACGTCACGGTAAACTCGGATCCAATAGTTTCAATCTGCAAAAGCAGTTAACCCCTTCTGACCTGCTAACGAAGTCGATGGAAAAGCCCGACACATTTTTCCTAATCTTCATCTGAACATAAAGTCTTCTGTGTTTGGTTTCTCAACAGAATCACAAAACTAAGTCTTGACACAGTTTTTGAGAATGCATTTGTTTATTTTTGAGTGAAGGGAAAAGCTTTACCTCATCAAGCGACTCATCGCTCGACAAGATAAAGGAAAGAAGAACGTTTACTTTGGTTTCTGCGCTGAAACACTGAATATCTGAAGTTTAACCTGTTAGATATTCCTGACTAGTTACACACAACTTTAAATGTAAACAATTACTTTGCCAATGAAACAAGAACTTATTTCTTATCCCATTGGCCAAAAGTTCTTGTGTAAATTAAAATGTCTGAAAACTTTCCAGAAACATCTAAAAGCAGGTGGAACCTCTAACGTCATGTTACATCCTCTAGATACTAACTATGTTCACCCTGAGATCATACCTCCTCAAGTCACGTATGACTCGACAAGATAAAGATCTAGTTTAGTGTTGTGTTAGCGTGATGCTAGCTTTGTCCTGAGCACCACGTCTATCACTAATGTCGGTGTTTGTTTTAGAAACACCACCAACTCCTACTCCTCCTCTTCTTCTTCTTGTGAAGCCCGTTGACCTCGTCTTGGAGCTCATGAACCTGGAGCTCCAGAGCAGTGTTGTAGTCCTGAGAGGAGGTCAGGTCCTCAGACAGCTTCTGGACCTGCTGCTCCAGGATCAGCCGGCTCTGTTTCTCTGAACACAGCTGTTCTCGGTGGAGCTGCTGAAGCTTCTCTTTGAGGACTTCCCAGACGTCTCTGTTGCAGGCAGGACTTTCTGTAGTATTTTGCATATGGTTGTTCTTTAGTTCCTCCACCTCACTCCACAAAACCTCAGTCTGTTGTTTCTCCTGGTGCAGGGCCTGTCTGAGCTCGGTCACCTGATATTTCAGACTTTTCTCCTCTTTGGACCTCTGGGTGATTGTGTCCTGGAGGGCCTGGGTTTGCTCGTCTCTTTTCATCACCTCTTCCTCGAGGTCAAAGTTGGCAACTTTAAGGTCTGCGATCTCCGCCCACACAGCTTCTCTAGCTTCCTCCACTTGTGCACGAAAAGCAGAAGCCTTCTGCTGTTTCAGATGAGTGATCTCACACTCTTTGGCCTCCAGCTCTTTGAGGTGCTCATTCTGGACATTCTCACACTGTGCTTTGAAGGCCCTTATTTGCGCCTGTTCAGTCTGAAGCTTCTCTTTGAGCTCCTCTACCAGCTGCTGCAGAGCAGTCTGGGAGGTCTGGGCCTCTCTGGTGGCCTGCTGTTCCTGGTCCAGGGCAGATCTTAGTGCGGACACTTGTGTCTTCAGCTTCTGCGTCTCTCTCTCCTTCTCCTGCAGTTTGCGCTCAGCTTCACTGGTGAGACTCTTCTCCTGGTTCAGGGCAGATGTGAGAGAGTCCAGTGTTGTTGACAGCTTCTGCGTCTCTGTCTCTAACTGCTCCACATGTCTCTGGGCTGTGACTGTGGCCTGGTCTCTCTCACTCAGATCTGACTGAAGTTGGGTCACCTGACTCCTCAGTGACTCCTTCTCCTGCTGCTCCTGCTGCAGTTCCTGTTGGAGAGCTGTGATCTGGTCCCTCAGAGCGGCCTTCTGTCGGGACGTCTCAGAGATTGCATCCAGGAGTCTCTGTGCTCTCTTTTCTCTACGGTCCAGCATGATTTCGAGTTTAAGGTTTCTTTCAGACAGATTGCGTATCTCGTCCTCCACAGCTTCCTTGGCCTCCTGCACCTGGTCACGAAAAGCGTCGTCAGCCTTTTCCTCTAAACTGCTGATGACTTTATCTTTTTCTTCCAGCTCTTTCTTGTGCTGATTCTCCATGTACTCCATCCAGTGCTCGCACTGAGCCTGGTGGCGAGATTTGAAGGCCCAAATCTCGCCTGGATCCCGCTCTACATCCAGTTTGAGGTTCTCTATTTGTGTGAGAAGCTCTTGCTGGGAGGCCTGGTTCCTCTCCTGTTCCCTTTCCAACTGTAGCTTCAGATCTTGGTTCTGTCTGAGCAGATGTTGAGAGAGGGCCTCGTCCTGCGGAGCGTCCTTAGACACAGTGCTATTTATGAGCTGTGTGGGACGCTGCGGCTGGATCGGGCGTGGCGCCCTGCGCTGCCTACGACGCGGACCGTGGCTCATGTTAACGTTTTCGTTGTGTTTATCCATGTTTCGTTGTTTTCGTCTCTGACTTCTGAAGGTGCAAATCTATGCTATTGTCTGAACAGATTTCACACCCATCAACTGAAACTCCAGGTGGAATCTTAATGATGTCATAATGCTGATGTCATAGTTACCATAGCAACAGCTATACTGTGATAACAGCTGGTTTCCATAGTTACCAATATTGCATTCACATTACTTTGTAGTTAATATATATAGATATTATCTCTAGTTAAGTGGACCCTAACTATATTCTGAATGCCAATTAGAGAAAGTAAAAACCAGGCCACACTCGTTGTGTTTTGAACATCAGAAAATAGAATGCAGTAAAAAGACTATATCTTTTGAATACGCTGGAAAATAGCTGCAAGTCCTAAGTAGCTCTGAAACAATTGTTGTTTTGTGCTTTAAAATGTTTATTCTTATTGCTTTTTTTCTACCTGAGATGTTGCTGCAGTACAGTGTTCATGGTTTTACACTGGTCCAGACCGGAGCAGAGAGGATTCATGGTCCGAACCAAGATCAGGTGAAAATCCACTGGAGGAATGCTAACTTTTTGAAAAATGCCAATAAACTATTTAGCATTTTACTTTGGACTAGAGCAGAGAAAATGGTCAAAACAAAGCAGCTACTCCACCTTGTGACCTGTCCTGCTCCACCCAGAGGCTACTCCACCTCTGCTGCTGTGACCTGAAGGGCTGTTGCTGATTATCACTATTGTTAGATCTTTAGATTGATACATTTTATTTTTTATTTTTGCTGCTACTGGACAGCTGAATTTCTCCAATGGGGCTCAATAAAGTATCCATCTATCTAAAATGGAACGTATGAATGAACGGTTGTCCTCTGAATATAGCTTCATAAAGACCTCTGGAGTTTTTCTGTGGAATTAATAAAAACAGGACAGAGTTTTGTAAAACATGTCTGTTCTTCCAGCATCACTTCACCAAAAAACATCTTTACAAAAACATCTCTAATCTGAGTTTCTGAAGTAACAAGAACAGAAGAAAAGCTAATGCTCCATTTAACATTTCACAAGTGACACATGGAGACGCAATTCACAGGAAATAATGAGTTACTAAAATGCAGTCCACCTGAGTTGACTCTGTGTGGGACCCCCTTCTGCTGCAATAACAGCAGGAAGTCTTTGGGGTCTGACTCTACAAGATTTGCATCTAGAGACAAAAACTTTTTGCCGCTTTTTCTGGAAAATCTTTATTTTTCTCTCTTGCGCGGTGCTGCAAGGGCTGTTTGACGGCACTTGCGGCTTTAATTATCAAAATTTTAAATACACAGATACACACAGGGCAGGTAATCAGACAACAGGAAGTAGAACTAACGGCTAATTTACACATCACGCGTTACAGCGAGTGGTCCCGCCCACAAGAAAATGGTGAAAAAACGCATCTGCACATGCGTCAGCCGGCGCAACTCCATTCATTTGAACGAGAGACTTCAAAAATTCACTGCAAGTAAACTAGAGTGGACCAAAAAAATTCACCCCCCTCAGCATTGACACACATGTGGAACGGAGCTTTGGGCCAAGAGCCAACTTTTGGTCCATCCTTTAAAGACGTTTTCGAGAGGTCTGCCAATGCTATATGTTAGCATTGGCTAATTCTACTTCTGGGTCCACCCCCATCAGCCCGGGGTGGTATTGCAGCATGTCATTATGGCCACTTTTGAGCTGGGACCCGCCCCCACTGGTTACAGCACGTACGCGTTATACGCGCAGCAGACACGCGTAACTTTTTTTCCATGTTAACCAATGGTGATATTTACACTACTAGTGTTATATGCGTGTATGACGGACGTATGTCTGGCCCGGAAAAAGCAGCAGTCTGTTTGTGCCCAGAGCGAGAGGTTAGTGCTGCTGTAAAGACGAGCTAAAAACATAGCATTAGCATCGCAGCCGCACAGTGAGGGAGAGTTGTTAAAACTCTCATGTGCGGCTGCAGACATGGTCTGAGAAACCACACGCTTTTACCAACATGTTGCCATTGATGAGAGACTGATGTTACTGATCTCGCATTTTCATTTGTGGTGTTACTGAAACTATCACAGAGGAGTTTTGAGTGCTGCTGGTGCTGCTGCCGGTGCTGCTGCTGCTGCTGCCGGTGCTGCTGCTGGTGCTGTTGCTGGTGTTGTTGCTGGTGTGTTGGACAGTACGGACTGGTTCTGCGCTCTCAGCCTGGTATCGATGGTATAGCAGGTGTTGTGACAAAGCTTTGGAGGTGATGATTTTTGGACATTTGACTGTATTTTACACAGAGACACTGCTGCAGTCGTTAAGAATGGATCACGTTATGGAAGTTGTTTTGTTTGTTTCAACTGAATCATGGTCAGTTTGAGGCTTTCTCTGTGACAATAGCATAACCATGGATTTCCTGACCACACTGAAGATGGTTGAACTGCTTTTTTCTATCTACCTACTTTACCTTTGTGAGCACGTTTTCTCTGTAATGAGCCTTAAAACAAAGCTAACATATATTTATTAATATAAATATTGTGAAATGCCATTTACAATGTAATATTGTAAATACATTGCATTATTTGCACTATAAAAAACTCACCGTTACATTTAAGTTTGTAACAAATTTACAGTTAAAACTGAGTGAGTATTAAAGGACAGTGTTTTAAAGGAAGTTTTAAATAAATGTGTTTATGTGCACTAAAAGTTTGACTTTGTACCATTTTTGTAGAGCATCTTCTGGTCCGGCCCAGTTGAGATCCAATTAGGTTGTATTTGGCCCCCGGACCAAAATGAGTTTGACACCCCTGGTCTAGAGTTATTGCTCATCATAATGCTGTGTGCTCCTCTGTACACTGCAAAAATATATAAAATATGAGGTAATAATTGCTTGAATCGAGTGGTTTTCATCCCAATTGGAGTGCATTCAGACTGTGTTAAAACAAGATTTGTCATTAGGACAAAGCATGTTTGACTGTGACACATGTAGTTCCTGATTACTGATGTAATCCACCTGCTGGGTTTAGCTACAATAGTATACACTCTCTGTATTACACATAACTACTTTTTCTATTTTCAGGTTTATTTTTTGTTTTTTTTTATTTTTCACCTAACAAACTGGCAATCCAAACGATCAGTCTCTTTCTGCTCTCTGATTGGATATTCTGATAATCTGCTTGAAAATTGTCAATATAGATATTATGGAAATCTTGTCCGTTGCACTTTTAATAAGAATAATTTCAAACTGTAAATGAGAAAAGGATAAATATGATTTGTAGATGTGACCAATACCTGGGGACATTTCATTTTAAATAGTTACTCCATACAGTTGCTTTTATTGTCAGTATTGGTTTTTTTTTTTTAAAGACAAAGATGCAGGACAGAGACAAAAAACAGAGAGAGAAAAAGAAATCTGTTCTAAAATTAAAAGAAATATACTCAAAGAAAAATTGGTTTTAAATAATCCACTTTGCAAATCCGTCTTTTCATTATTCCATTCTTTATTTTGCAGTCACCCTCCAAACAAAAACAGCATACTTGCCTAAGATAATTATTTTTTCTTGTAAACACTGGCACCACCATTAGCCCACTGTAATAACGGTGATTTGAGAATATTCCCGCGGATGGCAATTAGGAACAATGCTTGGATGAGTGCATCTAATAAAAATCTAATGTAGACCGCGCCACAGCAGCTCAGATGGCTGGGACTCCCCTCTCTCGGCGCTTGCTTTTCCGCCTCTCCGACCAGAATTCAATTTGACTGCGGGTAATTTCTCCTCCTTTTGCATTCAATATGTTTTCATCTCCTCTGACTGCTTACTCTGGGTGTTCTCCGACCTCCGCCAGCGCCGCACCTCTCTGTCTGTCACAGCAAAAGGCCAGTCCCCAGATGGTAGTCTTTATCACAAAGAAAAGCACAATGGGAGCGCGAGGGTTGCTAAGACTGACAGGTAAATGGGATTTTTCCGCCGAGGCCCGAGACTAGACGTGGACTCATCAAGCAGAGAGAGTGCTGTGTTTTCGCCGGATTCTACTCCCAGTGTTGGACAAAAGGGGGAGAGGTGCGGTAAAGCAAGATAAAAGCCCTGAAATAAGGGGAAATTGCTCTTAACAACCCACGGCTGAATGACTGCCTTAGTTCATAAAGCTCAAAGTTGAATGCAGTCACTTACGCTCGCACTGCATGGAGGAGTGTTTTAAAGGAGACGTCTTTCAGTACGTTCTGCACTGTTAAGCACACCTGTATGTATACGCACCACACTGGAACAAAATCCCTTGGAAATAAAAAATAAGTAAAATACTGCTTAAAATATTGATCTGCCAATGGAACAAAACAATGTGACTTGACAAGCTTTCAGAAAAATAAGAATATAATGCTAGCAACATTGATTATTAAGTATTAACTGTCAACCGATGAAAATGATTAATCGAGTTAATTACAGCTTAAGAATTAATTCATCGTAATTAATCGCATTTCAAACTATCACCAAAATTATGCCATATTTATCTGTAAAAGGTTGTTTGAATGGAAAGATAAATGACAACGTAGTGAACATATGTACTGTGTTTATTATAACAATAAATTCACATTCTGTCTTTCTGTAGTAGACAGTATGTTCTCTTGCATTAAAATCTGTAATTGAATTGAAAAAAATGAGCTTGTTGATTTAGCTGGTGTATGAATTCAGGTCATAGAAAGTGCTGAATAGAAACTTTGCGTGACGCTAGTTGCAAACAGGCCACGCCCCCTCTAGCATCTGGAGCGCATGTAAACAGCATGAGAGCAGAAAGTGGCTATACCTCGTCTGACTGTAACTGCAGACACAGAAAAACAGCCCAAAATACGCTAAAGTGAGGAGGAGGGCACTAAAGCAAAAATATTATCAAAGAAGAAAACCTGCCCGGGTGAATATAGCTAGCTTACATCGTACCCTCTGGAGAGACAGTAACGGTGAATATTTTGCCGCACGCCTGCTCACTCACACCTGCGCCAGAGAACACATCACCCCCGTCCTCAAACAACTCCACTGGCTCC